GTTGAGGCATGACTATTCATCACAGAGGTGGTGGAGGGTGTTGCTTTCCCACTTTCTCTCTCTGATGAGCACATGTGCTCTCTGGAAAACTTAAAAAAGCAAACAAACAAACAAAACAAATACTAAAATTGCACGAAAACACACATGCCATTCTCTCCTTGGTGTTTAACAGGCATTAGCACCTGCCATTTTAGCTTTATGATATATGTGATATAATAAAAAACAAACATTCTCTAAGCAAGACCTGCCCCCCAAAGCATGGGCAATAATCCCTCAAATAGACAGATGGGATTACATCAGATTAAAGAGTTTCTGTACAGCAAAGGACACTGTAATTAGTGTGAATTGACAACCCTCACAATGGGAGAAATTTTGTTAACTGTGCCTCAGATAAGGGACTGATAACCAGAACACATAGGGAACTCACGCAGCTTACCTGGAGGAAAATGATTAACCCAATTAAAAGATGGGAAAAAGAGCTGAATAAAGAACTCTCTAAGGAAGGGAACCAGAAGTTAGTGTAATGGCTATGTCTCTGGATTCCCACGTAGTCGACCGTGGTTCACATCCTGGACCTGGTGGCTTAGAACTCATGCCGGGTGCGTGTGCGTGCATGCCCAAGATCCCAAGAGGAGAATGGAGGAGAAGGGATTGCGGCGTGACCATCCCCCCTGGGGGGTGATTTCTGGGGTGACTTCTCACTTTCTGTCTCTGTCTTTCTGGCAAGCACACGCACCCTACAGCAAAAAAAAAAAAAAAAAAAAAAAAAAAAAAGAACTCCCTAAGGAAGACATATGAACAGCCAAAAAAAAAAGCATATGAAAAAATGCTCAACATCCTTCATTGTAAGGGAGATGAAGATCAAAACCACAATGAGATACCACCTAACCCCAGTCATAATGGTAAAGATTAAAAAAAAAAACAATGATAAGTACAGGAGGGGATGTAGTGAAAGGGAGAACACTCCTACACTGTTGATGGGAATGTAAATTGGTCCAGTCACTGCAGAGAATGATATGGAGGTTCCTTAAAGACCTTCAAATGAACTACCATATGATCCAGTAATTCCATTCCTGGGTATCTACCCAAAGTACTGGAGAGCACTTAGTCAGAAAACCTCTTGCACCTGTATATTCATTGCAGCCATATTCACTGCAGCCATATTCATGATTGCTAAGACATGGAACCAACCCAAATGTCCACAAACAGATAAGTGGATTGAAAAATTGCGGCGTGTATACTCTCTATGGAATACTATTCAGCCATAAAAAAAAAGTGTGGGAGGGGAAGAGTGTAGCAAATTTGGGGGGAAATGGAGAGGTAAGACACTTGTGGGACATAGATAAGATTTATTATCTGTTGACAAGGATGTGTATGGTGGTCTCAACTGAGCTGGACTGAGGTGCCTATCATATCATGCTGGGTAAAGTCACTTCACAATCTAAATAGTGTACAGTGATGTAATGAATGAATAATAATAAAACAATGAGAAAATAAAATCATTCTCATAAGCATTCTACTGGCTGTGGAGATAATTAGTGGAGGCTCATAATAATTACCATTATAAATGTAATTGGGGGATAAGCTTAAAATTGTTCATAGGAATTTTCTCTGTATCCTCCTCAAGGATTAATCTTCTCTACACATTGTTCTGCAATAATTTCAAGAAAACAAAATGGATCCAGATTTTAAGAAATGATCCCTCTTCTTAAATGCCAGCTTGGCTGAATTAAAAACCCATTTTATTAAACCATAAACAAAATCAGCATTTACTTAGGTTTTTAATTCATTTTTGTGTGTGAAAGGAAAAGGGTATCAATACATCAGAAGATACAAGAAAGGCAATGTGGAAGCCGCGTGGCAGTTGTAAAGTTGAATTATTTAATTTAAATGCAGTCAATCATTAGAAATAGGGTTAACCATGCTTAGGAGATACTTGCTTTTTCCTTTTTTTAAGTTCTGACTTATCTTGTGCTATTAGAATATTTTTAGCCAATTAGCTTGCTCAATTGACTAAACACCACCTACCTCATTTACTTGAATAAAGATGTAGCACATGTACTTCAGCAAGATATAATGATTTTATAGCAGCAGAAGGAAGAGGCAGAAACAAATCATCATTGGAAAAATGATGTCTACAAAGAAATATGACACCTGGCAAAATTATTAGTGTGGTCATTTTCCCAATTTAAAAAACAAAGCCACTGAAATTCTCAAATTTTATGAATACTTTGGTAACAAGACTCAAACAAGATAATTTCATAGAAAAATTAGGTGGAAAAAATCCCCTACTTTTTTTTCTTTTTAGAGAGATTTTTGCTCTAGGGTGTATGCACTCACTAGAAAAACAGAAAGCAAGAAATCACCCCCTGGGGGGATGGCCATGCCTCAATCCCTTCTCCATTCTCCTCTCGGGATTTTGGGTGTGCATGCACACCAGCCCAGCATGAGTTTCAAGCTACCAGGTCTAGGGCTCAACTGCAGTCAACCACGTGGGAGTCCAGTGCCCCAACCACTGTGCTCCCTGCTGATCCCGTACTGTCTTCATTTTCTTCCATGAAATTTGTTCCTGTTTCAAGATGCTTTTCTTTATTTTTTTTTATTAAATAAATATGCACATCCTTAACCCATGATATATTTTTTTCTTTTTTCTTAACCCATGATATTTAAAGAAGCTATAATTTCTTTCAATTTTTATGAAATGAATAGAAGTTATCCATATAATAAATGAAGTCTTGACAAATTTGTGGGAGTTTTAAAAACGCCAAGAAAAAAATAACAAAAATATAAAATTATAAAGATTTAACTAATCCACTTGAAAGTTAGTTTAAAACATTCTTCAAGAAATATCATGGTTGAGAATCTTAGAGTACTAACAAGCATAATGATTTGAGGAATGTCTCTTTACATATCAATAATTTTTCTGAAACTCTAAAAAACCTTCTTTGTTCATGTCTTAGACATTTCTTACCATTTGATAAGATAAAATTATTGTTCAGGATCCTAGGGTACTTTTTGAATATATTTAGAAAAACAAAAATTGAAAATTTTTAAACCAGAGGAACATTATCATAAATAAATTCTCACACTGGCTAACTTCTTAGCTCTATGATTCAAACCCAGAAATAAGTGATGATGGTGTTGCTAGTGACCTCGAATAGGCTTTCTAAAGAAATAACTTAGAAACATGTTATTTTAGTGGAAATAGAAAACAGGTATTTGGCCCAGGCATGCTGTCTCCTGGAAGCTAAACCCTATGTCTGCCTGACAGCTTCCATGCCAGTCATTTCTGCATCCTTCACACTCCCCCCTCTAATAAGAAGAGTGCTAATAAGAAGGATTTCTTTGTGCTTTAAATACATCAAATCACTTTACCAGATTTTCCGTTTTCAGAAGTCCTGTCAGAAAGGTAAAAATAGGAACTTCTTGAAAAATTAAAGATGGATTAAAGGCTCAAGGAGCACGAGCTGCCGTCAGGGAACAGGGGTTGGGCATGGGGTTCCCATGCTTCCTTTAGCTCTAGCTCTCCTGGCTCCCTTCTGGAAACAAGTTCTTTATACATATGGCACCATCTGATAACTCTAAGAAAAAAAGGTACAGCTTCCATGGTGGGACAACAAAAGTTCCCCGAGTTTTTACATCTGCTTGTTTCTTATACTAAAGAAAGGGGGTGGAATCTAGAATTCTCAATCCAAAGCACTTTCGAGCTACATTTGTGACAAAAAGGAAAAGTTCAAAGTATACATTACATGTGAATTATTGCCTCAGTAAGTTGCATTTCAAAATGCAGTACTTGGGGCCAGCCAGTGGCCTAGCGGTCAATGGAGAGGATCTCACGTTACCGACTGTGCAGTTCGAATCCTGGCCACAGGTCGAAAAGCAAGCTGGGTCCATGTTTGTGTGTACTGCAAATGCTAAACGGACAGAGAAACGGAGAGGGAGCGGTCATGGTGTGACCATGCCCTACAGTGGGGTGCTCCCTTTCTCTCTCTCTGTATCTCTGGAAAGCTCTCACAACTTCCGGCAAATTTTAAAAAATATAAATTTAAAATCTGATTAATTATATAAAATGAAAATGTATGTTAGGCAAAACGGTTAGGACTTCAAACCCCTAAAATCCACTACAATGTAAGTATGCATTTCAGTCTGCCCCCTAAACTTTAGAAAAGACATATATTAAAGTGTAAAGATTTGAATACTAAAATGTATCTGGCCTCTGTATATAAAATTGAATATGTACATGTGTTAGTCTCTAAAACTTGGTTAAAAATAAAATGTGAAGATATTGCTGCCCTTTCAAAATATTCCAGAACAATGAAAGGAAAAAGAAACCTCTCTAAATAGTTCACATGAACCATATTTTCATCCGAGTGAAATACCTTTTGCAACCCATTTTCTTACAGTGTTTTTGCTGGGATTCCAATACAAAGCAGTTTCACTCACTAGGTAAGACATTATTTCGAATTTGCTCTTGGACAAAGTTATACATTTCTCAAGCAAGTCAAAGCTTAGACTGGAAGTGAAATTCTCCAATGGCAAAATATTGATATGGAAGGGTAAGGGGATGTTTTTGAGCAAGACAGAATGAGGGCAAGGGTCTTTTCAGTGCCAAAGTCAAAGAGAAACTACACGAGGCTGGTCTCTAGTCAAATGAGTATCAGACATACAGGTTTCCAGAAATGATGGTCAGCACTGAAGGTGGAGTCACAGTGTTAGAGTTAGTGCAGGGCGTGAATTACGGTTTTGGCAGACCTGGTTGAGAGCCAAAACTCTACCCGCACGGAACCGTATGTCCTTGGACTGACCCAGGCAGTGGCTCAGATTCTTCACATAAAGAATTACAAATTGGGGAAAATAACACTTACCTTACAGAATTTTTTTTAAAGTAATGTTCATAAAATTTTGTAAAATAAGTGTTCTTGTAAACAGTATACCTATAACGTATAAACATTAATATACTTTATTTTATTTGTTGATATAAATAAGATGGAATTTCTTACCAAGGATGAATTCCAACTGTGGTTCATTTGGAGTCTTCTGAATACCTATAAAGAATGGGTGGACATGAAGATCTTTTTTAAAAAAATAACTCAGTATCAAGATTGTATCAATAAATGTCACTATGTTTCACTCTGTCCAAAATGTATAAATACCTTATTTGGCAGAATGAATAAACTTGGCTAATCATGCTTAAAAGTAATAAGTTCTTGGGGCCAGCAGGTGGTGTGGTGGTTAAAGGTGCTGGATTCCAACATGGCCAACTACGGTTTGAGTCCTGGACCTGGTGGTTTGCTTTCTCACTTTCCCATTCTCTCTTTCTCTGTCTCTCTCTGGTCAAATTAAAAGTAATAATAACACAACTAACGGAATTAAATAAGTATCGTTCTTAAAAAAAGCAATAAGTTCTTAGGGTAGGGCATAAACTTATAGTAGGAACTAGATACAACTGATCTATGGTCTATGTAGCTCCACTGCCATAAAGAAATTGAGAAATACCAGTTCTGTAAATGAAGACAAATGTAAGACATATCTTTAAACTGTATTTGTCCCTTTTGGATAAATGTAGACAGTTGTGGAACCTTCAAAAAGAACCACCTTGGAGTCAGCAAGTGGCCTGGTGGTTAAGGGGCCGGACTCCCACATGGCCAACTGCTATTTGAATCCCAGACCTGGTGGATTGAAAATCACGCCAGATGTGTGAGTGTGCATACCCAAAATCCCAAGAGGAGAGTGGAGGAGAAGGGACTGCGGAGTGGCCATCCCCCATGGGAGCTGATTTCTCAATTCTACCTTCACTGTCTCTCTCTGGCAAGCACACACACCCTACGGCATATACCTTATTTAAAAAATACTAAAATACAAAAGACGACGACAACTGCTGGATCCTACATGGCCAACAACATGGTCTGAGCCAGGATTATCAGCTTTAAAATCACACCAGCACTGTGTGTATATGGCCAAAATCTCAAGAGAAAAATGGTGATGAGATTGTAGTGTAGCCATTACTCTTGAAGGATGACTTCTCACTTTGCCCTTCTTTCTCTCACCACCTCTCTCTAGCAATTGAAAACAACCTATAGCACAACTAAAAAAAGAAAGCAAGAAAGAAAATCTCCAACTAGAATATGGTAGACACTACAGTGCCAGTTATTCTGCTCATTTATTGATAGCTCAAACCACATTCTGTTAAATATTTTGATTCCTTCTGTCATAGATGTTAAAAATACAACTTGACTAAATGACTTAAGATGAAGTGGGAGGTAAAGTGAGTCTGAGAACACAGGTGTGGGAAGGGGAGCATCTCATTATTGAAAGAATGATCAGGCTGTGGTGTTAATATGGCGGGTGGATGCCTGAGAACCACAGAATGCAGGAGCTTCCTCCGGGAGGGTGGATGAGGAATGGCTGCATGAATGGGATGCAATTTGTCACAACTCCTGGGTGGTCAAAGAAGTACAACTAAAATGTATGAAAAAGTAAGCAATTTGGCCATGAATCTAAGAATACTATAAAAGTACTTTCCTTGCTTATTTTTGCTGGTGTCTTGATCAGATAACATTTTAAATATACTGGAACTTGGCCACTAATGTATTTTTAGAACCACTCTTTGTATAAAAATCATTCATTTTTTATACACAGAGTTAACTTTTGTGTTGCACGGTGACCATTTATTTTGTTTTCTTCTGCTGACATTTAACAATGCTATGGTTAATGATTTTAGGCTTTCCAAGAGAGGTTAGAGTGACAATCATTAGGTAGGTCTTTGTGACTTCAAGTAGTCTGAATTTTTTAAAAGGTTATTAACAATTAACTCTACTGTACGCTCTGACAACCAAATTTCTTGAAAATGCATCCAACCAATACTGTTTTCTAAAGATTATTTTTATAATGTAAATTAAGTGAGAAGGTTAGGCATATATTTGCTAGTATTAAATAATTGGGCAACAGGAATCTTCTGAGAAGAAAAGGATAATTCGTGCTAAGCAATAACTCAAACTCTAGAATTTTAAATATAAGAGAAAATATACCATTCTTTCACTGATTTTAATGACATGAGTGGCAAAACTCTAATGTTCAAAAGCAAAAGCAAATCTTGGGCAAGTCTTCAAGCTTGCTTTACGTATGTGACTTAGTGTTCTCTATTATTGCAACAATGGTCTGAGCGTCTAGTGTAAGACGTTCTTCCTAGTGTTTTTGACTTATATGTCTTTTGGGTTTATATTATTTTATTAAATAATTATTAATTTATTATTATTATTTTTAGTTCACTATAAGGCATATGCATGAAAGAGAGAGAGAAAGAAAAAGTGAGAAAGTAAGCCACCAGGTCCAAGAGAGGAACTGTGGTCCACCATGTGGGAGTCCAATGCCCCAACCACCATGCAACCTGCTGTCCGTGTCTTTCAGTTTGAAAGACAAAAATTCCTATTTTCCAAAAAAAATTTCACCTAAGATGATATAAATGCCAAAAAGAAGGTAAGGTCTTAAAAAGTAGTAGTATGTAGAAGTTATATGTAAAAAGTACTTATTAGTGTCTTAATACACATTCATGAATTTTTACTCTAGGGCCAGGCTCATAGCCTAGTGGTTAAGGGTGCCAGATACTACATGGCCAACCACACTTGAACTTCAGCTCTGGTGGCTTGAAAAACACACTAGGCACATATGAGTGTGTGCTCAAAACGCCAACAAGATTAAGAAATGGAGGATTTATAGTGTGACCATGGTCTGTTGTAGGGTGATTTCTCTCTCTCTCTCTCTCTCTCTCTCTTTCTCTCTCTCTCTGTCTGTCTGGCAAACACATGTGGCCTCTAGAAATTAGACAACAAAAAGGAACTTTGAGTCTCCTATTTAACATTTAACATTTCATGTCATCTAGCTCACCCAAGATAGAAGACACACAGCATCAAAGTAAATAGTGTGATGGAAAAATATTTAGGTAACTCATGCCACTCTTAAGGACCCGTGTTTCTGTAAACGCATGTGTACATGTGTTTAGTCAACCCAATTGGCACTTCTATAGTTACAGGGAAGAGAACACATGCACTTACTTGTGAACTGCGAGTCCCCAGGATCATTTGCTTGGGCTGTAGAAAGAAAGTGCTGGCCTTCTTCAGATGTTCCTTCCTCTTTGATTTCCATGATCAATCTTCACGGTTGTTTAATTTTCCAAGTTTTCTTGTCCAAATGTCAGTGCCAATGACTTCTGATTTAGAGTGGTCTGATCTTCACCCTAGAGACTTGGGATCCCACGCTGAAACTCTGCATTTGGGAAACAGCGAGAGTGAAGATCTTGGTTAATTTGGAGTACAGAATAAAGCTAAGAATTAATGTAGGAAGAGCCTACAGCTGCCTTCAAATGAACTTCCTTCCTTTCTATTTCACTCATACTTTCAGGTCTCATCTGTACAGTTAATGCTTCATTATCTCTGAATTAAACAGGTATGCACCGAGCAATTGTTTTATAGGTATATGATGGACTTCTAAACCCTAAAAGGTACATTCTTTCTATTATAGTTTATTCTGTAAGAAAGCAGATGGCAGAACCAGCAGATGGTATAATGACTATGTTACTGAACTCCCATGTAGTCAACCACAGTTCAAGTCCCAGATCTGGCAGCTTTAACACACCAGGTGCATATGCGTGCATGTCCAAGATCCTGAGAGGAGAATGGAGGAGAAGGGATTGCGGCATGGCCATCCCCCTAGGGGGGTGATTTCTCACTTTCTGTCTCTCTCTGTCTTTCTGGCAAGTGCACATGCCCGATAGCAAAAACCTCTCCAACAACAACAAAAAAAAGAAAGCAGATAGCTATAGGGTCTACTAAGTTGATATGGATCTAATTTAGCAGCAAGAGGAAATAACCTCTTGTCAAGGTATTAGCATATTTTGCCAAAGATAACATTATCATAATTCCACCCGTTAGGACTGACTTTTATACTCATCTCTCCAACCATCCTTGTTAGAATATTATTCATGACCACACAAAGATAATTTGGCATGACACTCTTCTTCCAAAATGAGCCAACAGGTTGTACAAAGGAGTTTCTAACACCATTATTATACATAGGCTCTCTTGCTGTTTGCCTGATAAAGCTTTAATTGTTTAATGATCAGCATATATGGTGAAAAGAATGAATACTAATTCTAAAAAACTAAAGCTCAAGGGAAAAGGAAAGTAATAGCAAGTTGATAAAAATTAGCATGAGAGAAGAAAGCCTGTCTAAGAATTTAATATGCTATTATACAGAGTTTCAAGTAGTTACAAATTCATTTTGATATTTAACATGGTATCCATGAGACAAGAACAAATATTTTAAAAATCAATGTTGTTTTAAATCAAGTTATCAGCTGAATTAAAAAGTGTAAAAAAAACTTTAAATGTCTACCCAATCCTGTTTAATTAAATAACAAAAATCAAGTTTGGTTCAGAATACTGATGTGGTCTCAAACTTCACAAATCGACAGTCTCACACTTTGTTGTTCCTAACAAAGTAGCTCTATTTATAATTCAGCTCTAGCTTTTAGAAATCATCTGGCAAAAACTAAATCCAGAAAGCATCTTGAACCTTTAGAAAATATTGCAAGAAAATTGCAGATAAATCTATATTGACTTCTAAGATACAACCAGGAATACTTTCTGGGGTAAAGCCCACTCCATCAATTGGAAAATTATGTTCTGATTTAAGATAATACTTTCAAATTTCTTTTGACTATTAAATTTGGAAGTCTTTTCTGGTAAGGGTGAACACATATCTATTACACCATATAGATTTCCCAAGGACCTATGAGAAATGCTAACAGTGGGATATCTTTATCTGTAGCAAACTGCAGTACATACGTGACTTGGAAATAAGAACTTTGTGAACTTCGTTTTCTTTCTCAGTCTTTGAGATTGTACAACATCTGATCATAGTCAATCTTCTTAAAAAATAAAAACAGGTCCAGCTGCAATCCTGACAGAGTGGGAAAATGAACTTATACAATTCTGGAGCATCATGGGAAGGTCTGGATCTCATGTCCTGAAGCTTCCCTGAACAGTCAGAGGTAGACACACATAAGGCTATGATTCAGGCTGGCTAAGAGTGCAGATGGATTGCAGTGTGATGACCCTGGTGGGGTTGTCCGCGTTTCTTACTTTTAGAAAAGATGAACGAAGGACCAGCAGATGCATAATGGTTGCGTTGCTGGACTCCCATGTAGTTGACTGTGGTTTGAGTCCTGGACCTGGCAGATTAAAACTCATGCCGGGAGTGTGTGCATATGTATCCAAAATCCAGAAAGGAGAATGGAGGAGAAGGAATTGTAGGCTTTGCTCCCAGAAGGGTGACTTCTCACTTCCTGTCTCTCTGATTCTCTTTCTATCTCACTAGCGAGTGCACACACCCTATAGCAAAAATCTCTCTCTCTAAAGAAAGAAAGAGATGAATAAACTTAAAAAAAAAAAAGAAATCACAAAGTTGATCTAAATGAGATGGTATAGATGAATCTTAGAAAAATGACTCAGCACACTAATGAGAAATAGTTAATAAAGTAAATGTTAACTCTGTGTGTGGATGTGTGTGCACTAGTGTAATTTGTGAGTGAGAGGATCAAACTAAGAAGCCTATAAAGAATCATTAATAAGGTCTTGTTTTGGAACCAGCAGTTAGTGTAACGGCTATGTCACTAAACTTCCATGTGGTCCACCACAGTTCGAGTCCCGGACCAGGTGGCTTAAAACTCATGCCCGGCGTGTGTGTGCCCAAGGTCCTGAGAGGAGAATGGAGGAGAAAGCATTGCGGCATGGCCATTCCCCCGGGGGGGTTATATATATATATAGTCTTGTTTTAAACATATGGCTTATTCAAAACTAATTTACTAACTGAAAACTAAATAGATTTAGAGAAAAGGGAGCCAAGGATTCAATACAACAATTATGATAAAATGATACAATCTTGGAAATTCTATTCATTTTCATTCTATCTTTGGAGCATGGAGGACAAATTTAAAAACTGAAAATTATTGGGCCAGCAGTTGATATGATAGTTGAAGAGCTGTTTCTCACATGGCTGACTCCATGTAGTCCTGGACAGGTGGCTTATAAAACATGCTAGGCTTGTATGCAGGCATGCCCAAAATTCTAAAAGAAGGTGCCCCTCTCCCCCAGTAGTCCTTTCTCATTTTTCCTCTCCTTTTCTCTCCCTGATGAGTGAACAAACCCTAGATTTAAAAAAAAAAAATAACATCTTAAAAAGAAAAATAAAAGTGTTGGAAGTTTTTGCTAAATCACATACAACAGGTCATCAAAAAGTTTATTCAAAATACATATTATGAAAGAACTGTGCATAGATTTCATTTTTTTTTGGTACTGAAATAAGCTTGTAATTTAGCTCCAATTTTTCCACAGACTTTTGGAAGTCCCCTTCTATTTCAGAAGGAATCATTTATAAAGCTCTAGACAAGTGTGTTTGGGCTGGTAAATATAGAGCTTACTTATGGTTAAGTGCAACATTTCCTTTTCTGTGTCTATTTGGAAACTTTTTGGTTTGTGACCATGCTTAAGAACAGACTGTGGTTTGTGCATACCTCAAGTATATTTAAAATAAAGTTTGCAAGCATATCAGCAACTCAGACCACCTCTCACATCTTTTGCCCCACTCAAAAAAGAGCTGATTGTGTGTGTGTGTGTGTGTGTGTGTGTGTGTGTATATACACACACAAACTGTAGTTATAATAAACAGAAAACACTCTGGCTTTTCTCCTTCTCCCCTACAGGAAAGAGATGGTTGGTAGCTATGGTTTAACTCTGTTTAACTGAATAATATTTCATCACTGATCATGGTCGAAAAGGATATTTATTATATATTTTGAACACCTTATACTGTGAACAATCTTATAGCTGCATAAAATCGCACAAGAAGATTGTGACTAATTAGGAAGAAGAGACAACATACATAGAAAAATCAGAGACAGTACATGATGAAGGGTGAAAATACAGTATGTTCGGCAGCTGGAGTCTACAGCCCAGTGCTGGTCGTGAACTAATGACCCATAATCTAACAGCACCTTGATGAGAAGATGAAGTGTACTCAGGTGGCAAGTTGTAGATACAAGTGTGAAGGGGAATGCCTTGAACTGTTAGGATGCTTTTTAAATAGCATATTCTGCTACAGTGTCATACTCATCAAATTTGAGATTTTTTTGGTAAGGAAATGGAGATAAAAGAAATAAGACAAAGGAATTATAATGAAAAGCACAGAAGAAAGGAGGGTAAAAGGAGTCAGATAGCTTTGTGATTACATATTTTAAAAATTTTAATCAGGGCGATCATTTTACAAGTATTAAATAATGCCAACTTATTTAAAATAGTCTTCCCTTTACTATCATTTGTAGAGACTGAGCCATCATACTCTTCATTTCAGGGTAGAAAATGGTAAAACAATTAGGTTTGAGGAAGTAAAATGTGCTAAATATTTTACTTCTCATTTAATGTATTACAGGGCTATAACTGGTTTACCAAATTCTAGAATTTGTACATAGTAGGCTGAAAATACAGAGGACTTTTGAAAGTGTAGGAAAATAGAATTAAAGTTTAAGTTTATTCTGATCTAAAAATATTAAAATGCATGTATAGTTTTTTCATTATAAATATTTTCCACAAGCTTTTGAAAACTCCTTGTACTCCCAACATCTATGAAGATAGAATCGATGGCAAACAGAGAGGTGAGGGCCAGCAGATGGCATAATGGGTATGTCAGTGGACTCCCAAGTAGTCAACTGCAGTTTGAGTCCCAGACCTGAAGGCTTAAAACTCACTCCAGGTGCGTGTGTGTGCGTGCCCAAGATCCTGAGAGGAGAATGGAGGAGAAGGGATTTGGCATGGCCATTCCCTCTCAGGGGGTTATTTCTCACTTTCTGTCTCTCTGTCTCTGTCTTTCCAGTGAGTGCGCACATCCTGTAGCAAACATCTCTCTCAAAAAAAAAAGGAAGAACAGAGCTGAATGTAACAGACAGAGTGGGAGAGTTGTTCTACCTTCCAGAATTTTAAAACCCCCAAAAGGGAGGAAATCTCACCAGTGGGTGGCAGATGGATGTCCTGTCAACCATAATAAATCTGGGAGCAGCCACCCTTCAGGTTGTCCCTGCACCAACATGGTGTTTTCTCCTGAATGTGGGAAAGCATCCACCACATAGGCAGAGGGACAGGGACCAGGGTTTCCCTCTGCTCCTCTCATGTATGGGTGAACCTGAGAAGAGACTAGTGCCTCTACAGATGAGG